TTTTTTTTTTGTAGTTGTCCAGTGAGTGCTGTAATAAAATAGTGCTTATTTTGTGGCAGTGAAGGAGACGAAGGGCTCAGGGTGTTTTACTGGAGTAAATTCTGCGCTCCTGCTGCAGTTGCTCCCCAGATCAAGAATACGAGACCCTCCAGCCTGCAGAGAGGCGGTGTCGTGAAATCCAAAGTGTATTTTGGCAGGAATGAGGAAGTGTACTCTTTCCAAAAGAATCTGGACACACTGCAGTTGTTCGGTAACTTATTTCTGCTACATCCTTTATTTTTAAAATACTGTATTTATCTCGTGAATGCAATGCATAAACAATTTATTTGGTATATTCCTCGCAGCTTTAGACTCTGAAGAATATGAGCTGGATGAAAAATCTGGTAAAATTAAAAACCCAGGATCTGCACAAAATAGCAAGTGGCAATTGGGATTCCAAGGTAATGAAAGTTTATTTTTCATATTTGCTGTATTGTGCTCATCGTATTATCAGCGACACTATCATTAGTTTGAATCACAGTATAGTTGCATGTATAAATGTTTTATTCTTGAAAAAATAGCAGAAACAATGCGGACAGTGTAGGCTCTCTTTTCATTTGTACATGCATTGGATTGATACCCAGCTTTTTGGTGTTTTTGTTTTAAGCAATGTCATTTGACCTTTATGCCAAATATGGCAACAACCGAACCCTGACCCTGACCAGTCCCAAGAAGCCCTATTACCAGTGGAGACTCCGGGTCCCCTCCGGCCATGTGGTCCGCCTGGTCATTGTCACCTTGAACGGCGCCTCGCCAGGGAACTGTGCCGCCCACAAGCTCTCAGCCTACGACTTCTTACTGCCTCTGCAGAACAAGATCATTGCAAGGTAAGAGCCGGAGGAACAATCAACCATGCATCAGTGAGCCGAAGCGAAGAGGTTTCCTCCTGTCTCTTGGGGGTTTTTCTTTATCTTCGTGTCCTTCGCCGTCGCACAAAGGCTGACCGATCGACCGACCTGTGGAGGCGTGCTCCTGAAATCTGTGTATGAAAGGGCCGGGGACTCGGTGCTCCTTTTCTGGTAGACTCAACAGCCCGTGCCATCCGGGGAACTCGGAGTGTGTTTAAGTATTAAACTCTTGCCTTGAGGAGTGTTGGCCGGCAATGGCAAGCTGTAAATGTGTATGTGGGTGTCGTTCCTGGTGGGGTTTGGGGGGAAGAGGGGCAAGGAAAGAGCTGCAGCGTGGTGTTCCTCTGTCACGTGTTGCAGGTGGTGTGGTGTGCCCGTCACAATTACGCCCCCAGTCATTAAGCTGACTTCCTCAGGAAACGTGATGCTGGTGACCTTCTCCTTCAACAGACAGAAGGACAGTGCTATTTTCAAGGCCTACTTCCAGGCAGTGCCCAAAGCAGGTATGCTCTGCCCTTGGTGACCCGCTGTTCTTGTGAATTCCACCGCTCAGGCGGTGGCTCTCGTCAAAATGCTCTCGTAGCCAGAGGAGGGAAAAAAAATAACGTTTCACTGCGTCGGGTCCTCGTTGTGCTGCACGTCACAGGCCGGGGGTGGCGTGGTCTGCTGGAGGAGGGGCTTCCTGTTCAGGGTGCAGAGTGTAAGCACGCGTGTGCCGCGACCATCCGGCGTTCTCGACACGTGCTGGGATCTTCTAGATTCCCTCGCTGTGAAAAGCAGGTGACGGACAGTGGAGCTCTTTAAGATTTGCTCTTGGAGGTTGTCTCGCAGGCTCGCGGCTTCAGACGAGCTCTGTGTGGAGTGCAGGCGCACTGTAGGTGACTTCTGCCCCTCCTCCTGTGTGTAGGCTGCGGTGGGAGCCTCCCCGTGTGGAATGGCACAGTGACATCGCCGTACTACCCCAGCCACTACCCCCCCAACGTGGACTGCACCTGGACTATAAACGTGAGGACCCGCCGAGCAGGAGCTTTCACTGCATTTTTTTTTTTAAAAAAAAAGCATGTCAGACAATGCATCCCTCATCCCTGCTGGATTCCTGTTGGTCATTCTCTTAGATTTTGTGCTCTCTGGACCTTTCACCCGGGTGCACTCTTTACCCCAGGTGCTGGCGGTCTTGCTGGAGCTCTGAATTCACCCCCCACCCTTCCTGACAGGCCACAGGAATGACAGGGGGCACACACGGGGCGGGGGGGTAGTGGGTACAGCCTGAGACCAGCTGAGAGAGAGAGAATAGCTGCTCTCTACTAAGACGTAGATGGAAAAGATTAGCCTTTCAGGTGATCATTTCTTAACGAGTGAAGTTATGCCAGCACATAAAAAAGAGTTTTTATAACTGCAGTAGCAGAATCGTTGTGATTTTGAATGAATGTACCAGACGTCTGATTCTAATTAGGCATATTGCTTAAGGACCAAGAATGAAGCCTGGCTTCGTGTGAAATGTAAATCCGTTGGTGTTTCCCCACTGTCCCTTCCAGGCCCCCCCGCGAGGATACTTACTGTCCGTGACGGTTGTGGTTTTAGACATCCAGGACTCCCCCGCCTCGCACCACTGTGACAAGGACTGGCTTGACATTAATGGAGTCAGGTTAGTCTCCTTGCGTCGGTCAGTGGGCGCCTGCCTGCCCGCAGGCTGCAGGCGTTCCCTCGCAGAGCCCATGCCCTCTGCCTCCTCAGGTTGTGCACCCCTGTGGCGGACAGCAGCCGGAAGAGAGTGTACTCCTCTCCGGTCACCCTGCACTTCCACTCGGACGAGTCCATCACGCGCAGGGGCTTCTTCATCCTCTACAGAGCGTTCTCTCGGGACAGCCGTGAGTGCGCACCACCGCCGCCACCCTCGGACATGTTCGCTCCCCGTTCTCACTGCTGGGGGCCTGGAGCGCAGGGTGTACTAAAAATCAAACCTTATAAAGTTCACATTGGAAATAGTGTCACAAACTGGACTTAGAAAGAAAGCTAAATCCAGTGACAAACTGGACTAGTGTCACAAACTGGAGACCCAGTTCAGTTGTGAGATAAGAACGCAAGACAGATTTCAAATGAGAGGGGGCTATTTGTTAAGTCTACAGTAGTTCCTTAGGTAACTAGTAGTTAATGGGTCTGAGGAGCTCCTTCTTGGATCAGATCGGATTTTGAAACAAGCCAAAGTATCGGCCTTCACCCCATGGCTGGATAGCTTGTTCCACGCTCCCGCAGCCCTTTGTGTAAAGGCGTGTTTCAATGGAATGAGGTCAGCTGAGAGAACACCGGCTGCTTCTGAAGCACTGAAGGCAGGGGCAGTGCAGAGTGAAGGAGCAGCTGCAAGCCCATTTCAATCGCGCGCACACCCGGCCGGACAAGTGGGTTTTTTTTTGCCCAGAAAGCTGTGGGATTGCTGTAAATGGCCAGGAATGATCTTGTGCTACTTTCGCCTCTGGGTCTTGCTCTAAGAGTGGCTTCCCTTCAGTTCTCCCTGACGGCACTCTCCCTTTTGCCGGTGTCTCGCCAGCCTGTCCCAAGCAGTTCCAGTGCAGCAATGGCAGATGTGTCCCTCTGAAGAAGCTGTGCGATGGGGTGAAAGACTGCACTGATGGCAGCGACGAGGCGAAATGTGGTTAGTTACCAGGGGGAAAAAATGTGTACTAGTGCATATAATTGTTCAGGTACTGGTAATTTTATTGTTTGTAATCTGACTGGCAGAGAGCATTGCTACAATGTAGCATTTATTCACACATAATGGAAAAGAAATTCAAATAAATTCTTCAATCAGTCGGGCAGCCTTAGAATGGCTGTTTGGGCCTTTTAGCTTTAGTAGATGTGTTTCTTCTGCACGTGGGTTTTATTTGTGCATCTTTTAGTGGGGACCTCTGGTAGAGACTATTCATACGGACCTCCAGCTGATGTTCACTGCCGTGGTCTGTGGTTCCTCATCAGCAGCCTGTGGCCCGGGAGAGGTGAACTGTGGGAATGGCCAGTGCAGACCCCATGTCAGCCTTTGTGGTGGACAGAGCAGCTGTGGAGACAGCAGTGAGGAAGTGGACTGCGGTAAGCACATCTCGCCAGGCTGTTGTTGTTGTTGCTGTTGCTAAATGCATAGGGCTCTCAGTATGACGGCACTCCTCTTAATGCATGACACAGCATGCTGGATATTTCACCTATGTGTATCTAGTGGACTTTTGTCTTCCTGCAGCAGGAGACTGCTTCCTGCACTGCCCTAATGGGATCTGCATTCCCCAGTCTTCAGTCTGCGATGGCATCGTTGACTGTAAAGATCGCAGCGATGAAATCAACTGCACAAGAGCACGTGAGGCTGTTCGTTCTTCTCTCCTCGACGAAAGACATTCGAGTGCCTTTGAGATCTGGATATTGAATGATGTCATACACCTTTTAAGATTTGCAGCATTGAATTCTGATTCAGCATTAGTTTAGGGAGATTGTATTTGCAGTAAGAGATTTAAATAGCCCACGTTCTGCTGAACAGAGCGGCACAGAGGCTTGGCGAGTAGCACAGCTGCCTCACAGCTAGTGGGTCCTGGGTTCAGTTTCAGACTGGCCCCTATTAGTCTGGAATTCAAAGGCTCTCCCATTGTCCCTGTGGGCTTTCTCTGGGTGCTCTGGATCTGGTTTAAATTGTGTGTCTGTGTGTCTGTGTGTGTGTCTGTCCTTGCCCATCCTGGATGGTATCCCATTCAAGGCGTAGTCCTGTTTTGCACCTCGTGCTTCTGGGACAGGCTCCGGATTGCTGTGCGCCTTGCCAGGAGTAAACGGCTTTAGGACAGCAGATGGAAGGATTGACAGTGAAAGATCAAGTCAGGCCTCTTTACTTTGGGTTGTCCTGTATGCGGAAACACAGCAGGCCTATGTGTTGAGACATTGCATCAGTGATCTGTCTAAATGATTGGAGGAGAAGTCTTGACTGGAGGGGGGGGGGGACCTGAATTGCTGGCGTGAAGGCGTGAAGGCTCATCATTACATCACCGAGATACCCGATGATCCGGGCAAGACGGTCTTCTCCAGATCCTGTATGTGCGTCCCCGGAGCTCTGCTTGAAACGCAGAGTGTAATATAACTGTGCTTCCCCCGTGGCAACCCTGAGCCATTGTGCCCGCTGTTTCTGCAGTTCACAAAGCCTGCTCCCCGTCCTCCTACAAGTGTCTGAACGGGAGGTGCCTGAGCAAGCTGAACCCCGAGTGCGACGGAGTGAAGGACTGCGCCGACGGCTCGGATGAGGCCGGCTGTGGTGAGCCCCCGCCCGATCCCGACGCTCTTTCCCTCCCGCCCGGCGGTGTCCTCTGGGAAACGGATGCACTCGGTCAGGAGAGACGACGCCCCGCGTGCTCAGCCGCCGGGCCGCTGGGTTTCGGTGTCGGGCTGCGGTGCGTTTCATCCGCCCCCTCTTCTTCTCCCGCTCTCCCCTCCGCCTGCAGGGTGCGGCTCCCGGCCGAGGAAGAAGAGCAAGATCGTGGGGGGCGGGGACGCGCAGACGGGGGAGTGGCCCTGGCAGGTCAGCTTGCAGATGGGGCGCTACGGGCACGTCTGCGGGGCCTCCGTCATCTCCAGCCGCTGGCTCCTGTCGGCCGCGCACTGCTTCCAGGACTCCGAATCTATCAGGTGGCCCGGCCGTGTTCCTCGCTTCCTTTTCTCCAGCTCGCGCCAAGCGCGAACTGCTCTTGCTTCCCGAAGCGCTGGTGTGAGCCCTGCACGCTCTGCAGTAACCTCCATGTTCTTGGGGGGCCACTGGAAGATGGAAGGTTGGTTGTGTCCAGGTCACATGGCTGTTTTGGGGTTTTTGCGCAGGAAGCAGCGGGCGTCCACTGTACCTACGGATAAGGAGGAGGTGTGGTTAGGGGCTTGCGCTCAGCACCGTTCTGTCGCACCACAAAAAATATATTTTTGTAGATATTTAAGCATGCAAGGATTTGACACTGGTGTACAAAACGCCACCTAGTGACTACAACATGTAATACAAATGTGATGAGATATAGAGGAGGTTAAAGGCACGTTAAAGATGTGGATTCATACTAAAAATCCTCTTGTTCTAAATACAAAGCATCCTGCCAGGGTG